CCCCCCCCCCCCCCCCCCCCGGCAGCGGGAGAAGGAGACCCGGGCCGGCCGCTTTCCTCCCGTCTGCTCCTTCAGGTCAAAGCTGCCCCGCGTTTCCGGCCTCTCCCTCCTCCAGTTTTCTAGGATTTGTATTAGTGTCTTTCGGAAATTCCCTATTTATTTGACAGAGAAGGGAGCAGTCGGAGCCCGGGCTTGCTCTCCATCTCTATCCAGACACGTTTTTGGAACAAAAAAAAAAGACAAAAAAGGCTTAGATGAGTCTCACTCACGCCGATCGTTCTGAGCTTGGAACACTCCAAGTTGACTGAACTTGGAGTGTTTAGTTATAATCTAAACTAAAAAGACTCTAAGCAGTTGATGTTCTCGTATAATAGCTGTAAAATGCTCACGGCAAAGGTCTAGCTCACATCACGTTCTGCATCCACACACCGCTGATTGTAACGGTGGCTCCCGGTGGGCATGAACGGGACTATCTGCGGCAGAAAGAGCAGAAACTGAAAGCGATTAAAGGCATTTCCACTCCTTACCAAACAGGGTTTGGCCCGCACGGCCGCCTCAGAGTAAACCAAAACAGTACAGACGGTACGAACCCAGCACTTGATGGTGGAATCTCTATTACCTCAGTTGTTCGTCTAAATGTTGTCTGCCAGCTCTTCTTTCGTTTAAGAAGTCAGCTTTTTTATTTTTGAAATTGTGTGACAACTAGTTGTTACATTCAAGAAAGAAAGAACAAAAAATGCTATGCTTTTTTAAGGTTCTGGAAATCAAAATGTAATTTCATTATTCGCATTTGTTTTAAAATGGGGAAATAAAATAGAAACAGAGCTCCTTCTAAGGTGAACTTCTTTTATTTATGTTTCTATTTTTCCACGTTTCCAGCTTTCTCTGAACGCCAAAATGCGCGTTCATGTCCTTTATTTATCCAGGCCTCCTCACAATGAGCCTCTCCGATTTTTATTCACGCGACTGTTCATGAATTGATTTATTTACATTCCAAATGTCACTTTCTGTTGTTAGTGAGAATGATGTTGTTGTTGAACGATGTTATCCATCCGAATATGTAAACTTCCCCTTTATCTGCCCCCCCCCCCCTCCGCCCAGTGTCTAACTTCTCACTTTTGTAAATAGTTATTAGAAATTTAAATAAATGGCTGAGAAACTATTATTTCCGATCTTACTCCATTTCTTCTTAAAACAAAACGACTCGTTTAGCTGTTGCTAATTCAAATCCAGACTTTTTTTTTTTAAAGCAGTGGGATTTTATCACACACACATGTGTTTTTGTCCGGATTGTCAAATTCTGCCTCTTGTTTTGTAATGGGATTTTTTTCTGTTTTTCAAACGCAGACGTGAAAGCTGTCTGTTTGTGTTTTTCGGGGCCTTACGCGCGCGCTCCTCTCTCCTGCCACATCTTTTCTTGTCATTGTGCTGTGGGTTCTGCTCACAAAGGCCCAGTGACCTGTGCGGAGTCCCGGCCTGGTGATCCATCTCTGCTGCTCGTGAGTGATCCGGCTGCATTACGTCCCGTAATCTGCTTTTAAATCACACGCCGTCCCTCGGTCTCCCTCCCGGTCTCCGTTCATTTAACGGCTGCTCGGCTGCGCGCACCGGGCCGCCGCGCACCGCTGAGCCCCCCCCCCCTATCCGTCCAGCCAAGGCTTCAGAAAAAAAACCCCTCTGCTTTTTGCTCATTTAATACTTAAATGATTGTAATTTATGTATTCTTTTCTGTGATACGCTGTGTTTTCTGGAGCGGTGCTGGGCGCGCGCGTGTTTTATTTTCCTTTACATTATATAAAGGGAGTGGGCCGGTGCAATAGCTCAAACCCTGACAACCAAATAGATAATCAACAAGACGAATGGCTTCTTTTGTAAAGCGCAGCTCCCGTATTAATTTTCATTTTCTTTTCTTACAGCAGGTATCGAAACTATAGAGCGAAAGTGGGGGGTGGTGGCGGTGTCTGTGGAGACTTTAAGTATAAGAAAAAAAATCAGCTCCCAACACTGGTCACTCCTATCGCAATCCGTGACCCCAGAAGACCCCCTGTTAGTTGTTATATTTGTGCCTTGTTGAGTCTCCCTCTGCCAATTTCTTTGTTTTCTTGTCTTATTATTTCCTCACGTGGAGCCAAGTAATATTATATATAATGTAATAAATGTGGCATAGATGTAATTTTATATATATATATAAATATGTGTGTGTGTGTGTGTGGCGGGTGTGTAAATGTATCCATATGTATGTGGGTGTGTGGGTGACAGCTTGCTTTTGCAAATGGGATTGTTTGCCCCCCCCCCCTCTAAAAAAACGTTCACCTTCAATTCTTTTCTTTAACCGACAGGACAGAGGAGACAGCAGCCCGAGAAAAATGCGAAAATTATGCCAGAAAAATCATTAATCACTTGTTCTTCTTTAAATGCTTTTTCTCCCTCTTCTATTGTCCCCGACAGTCCCACACAGGAGCCCCTATGCCGGGAAGAGGGAGGCCAAAGATCACAGAGACACAGGAAAAGATAAAGAAGACGTCTTGGAAGACGCTTGGAAGCCCCCCCGTCTGACCTCCCTCCTCCTCTAAACCCTCACACGCACGCACGCACATGCACACTACGCTCACACCTACACACAAAGTCACACGAATACACTTATCAAACTTCAACAAGCTCCTTTGGTAAGCAGCAAGTGCCCCGCCATGAGAGAAAAGCAGTTCCCGGGAGGACCGAAGCCCTCCAGAACCCCGAGGAGTCCACAAAGACCCGGAGTCCCGGCTCACAGGAACATGGCCCTCCGCTGTCTCCCATCCTCACCCTCAAAGGTAGGAGTTTTCCCTCTAATATTACGTGGCCTCTCCTCTCTCCCGGCCTGTCTTGTTTGTGTTTCCCGGCTGTGATGACTTGGATGTGTTTTATGGCTCCATTTCCCTTCGAGCATTTGGCAAAAGGCGACGTTTGTTTGTGTGCCAGCAGATGTGAAAATGCGTGTTTGCCCACAGTGTCAACACTCACAAGCTCGATTAGGAGTTTATTCATTTATTTATCTATTTTCCTGGTTTTGGTAGAAATTAGAGCTCATGCGTGCACAATGAAGCTCGGAGTGGTTTTCTCTCGGTTGTGCTTGAAAACAGTTAGCTTAGGATAACAATAAACCGTAGCGTTTTATTTACATTTCTGCATTTAGCAGAAGGCTTTATCCAAAGGGACGCACAGAAAGAGGCTTTACACCTCTACTACTAACGGGATAAATGAGCCTCAAAAAGCCGCCGGCTGCCTCAGACCTCCGGCTGCAGGCTGGAGCCGCTGCGGCCTCCAGGAGCACCGGCTCTCTGCCCCCCCCCCCCCCCACCCCCCCCCCCCCCTCCCCCGCCCCCGGTGCCGGGGCTCGGTCTCTCTGGGGGCCTTCGGCCACATCGCGCGCTGCCAGATGCGGCCAAACGGCGACAAATAGCAGGATCAAACTGCTGGGTGTAAGGGGAAGGAAACAAAGAGAGACCGGGAGCTGGAGGCAGGAAAACCAATCGATGGCAGAGCTGCCCAGCTCCGGGTGCAGGAAGGGTCAACCAGGGGACACGGTTTTTTCCTGACCGCTGCGGTCCGCTGCCTCTCAAGCCCCTCCCAGAACATCCTCGCCATTAACCCCCACCGCTCCTGCTCTCCCTTGACCCCACAGGGCCGCCGGACCCTGCACTCCCTGGACATTCCCAGACCTCCGGAGCCCTCGAGCCACTTTGTCAAAACAGGCCAAATGCAGGGCACTGTAACACACTAACACCCCCCAGCCCCTTTCCCACAGAGCCGGGAGGTGGAGGGAAGGATAGATAGATAGATAGATAGATAGATAGATAGATAGATAGATAGATAGATAGATAGATAGATAGATAGATAGATAGATAGATAGATAGATAGATAGACTTTGTATCATTACTTTACGACCAACAGCACATGTTTTTTCTGCATTAACATGGAAATATTATGGTATTATTTACTTTATTGGATGGTAAATTTGCGTCAGAGGAAAGTTTCATTTGTCCTCTCAGTTGCACAATAGTCTGCTGTGACTTAGTTGTGGTTGAAATGACACAAAAATCCGGGATTTATGTTCATCAGCTCAAATACTTGTTTTTTTCTCTCGTGGTTACATAAATGAAACATCATGTCTTTATACCAGCTAAGCTACAGTCGGATGGTATAACATAGTACATTCGGGTTTGTTGGGCTGTTATTGAGTACATTTCTATCCTGAACTCGTGCACTTTCATTAACAATTAAATTAATTTAACGTCCACTTGTTCTGCCATGCTAGGGTTTCATAAGGTGAAATAACATGGGACCTTCATGTTTTAGGCTTCTTTCCATCAATAAGTGTTTTCTCTGATGCCCTCGGCTGGCTACGTCTTGCTGGTTTTGGTGGATTAGCTGGTGAATAACTGTAGCAGGAGGCTGCTGTCCTCCTCACCTGCCCTTCCCAGAGATGCTGCCCTGTGCTTTCCTGTTTTTGGGGGCTCCAAACCAGCGGACAGACGTGTGTTTCTACACCGGAAGCTGCCGGCTCTCAGGGCTGGCAGCACACAGACAGCAGCTACACAACCTCCACTGTCTGCGGCCCACGGGGCTGATGGGGGTTTGCTAATTACCAAAAAACAAAAAAAAAAACCCTCTCTGGCTGCCCCGTGTCGCTGGAGGAAAATGTATTTTTGTGGAAAGCGCGAGGAGCCAGGCGGGTCACGGCGCAGAGGCTCGTGTTGCAGGAAGAGCTCTTCTTGAGAGATGTATGGCTGCACGCGCGGGGGGCGGGCCCCCCCCCCCCCCCCCCCACCCCCCCTTTCTGTCTCTCTCTCTCTCGTCGTCTCAGTGTAATCGTGAAATAGTGCCCCCCGTTAGCCATTTGAAACTAGACATTTATTTAGTA